TTTTATAGTCCTTTTTTATATGGTTTTACCCAGTTTGAGTTAAGAGTAGTAAATAACTTTCTCCCAGGAAAAGAACCGGTGCGGAAGCCCCGAAGCGCAACAGCTTTTTTTAAAGGGACATAACTTCCTCATTTAACAACCTGAATCTCCAGGTTTTCTAATGGGTTTTCTGGTTTAGGGTTTTCTTGGAGCCACAGCGCTTTGGACGCACTGCTGTCTTGTTTAGATGGTGTTTGTTTGGGCCGCTTTCAACGAAACCTATTGCTGTTTGGACAGGCGGAGCGAGCTGGCATGACTCCTCTGGCCCCGTTGAAACGCAGAGGAAATTGTTCCACTGTTTGAAGTGCTCGCTTTTTTCTTTTACCGTGTGTTTGCTTTTATTTTAATCTACTAATTTGTTTCATTTTGCATTGCATGTTTTGTTTGTTTTGGAATAATTTTAATTGCCCTTTTCTTTCCAGGGACCGAGTAGTAGGCCTGAAGCCGTGTTTTAACAACAATGTTTAAAAGAAATGCTTTGATGAATTTGTTTATAGTATTGTGACCTATTCTGTGTTCTGATGCATCTTCTTTGCAGGTCACACAAGAATGAAGGCGATGAGGAAGATGTTCACCTGTTCTCAGCTTCCAGCTCCGATTCAGCTCCAACAGGCCGTAGAACAAAGCCTTCCAGCCGGCGAACCCCCCCATCACTTTTACCAGCCAGCGGTCCGTGGTTCCATCCATCATCTGAATACCCGTGAATATGGCCGCCACTGTGGGAGTTCACACCACTTTTAACGTCTGGGTTAATGGTTTGGGCCTAAGATCTGGCTTTAAGCTGCAAAAACTCAAACACTCACCTGACAGAAGGTGAATGGATGCAGCAATGAAAGAATGTCCCCAGTTGAATAAAAACCTCCTAGAAACCAGAAGATAAAATCAGTTCCAGCTACAACTAAGAAGATAATCTAACATTAGTTCTGAATCTTTTTCTGGTTCCTTTAGGCTCAGCATTCAGAGAAGGAAGATCCACTAAAGCTGCAGCAGGGAGCAGAGGTGGTCAGGAGGTCCAATCAGCATCTGCATTTACTAAAAGCTGTTCTAACATTTATTTCTAACATAAAGTCAGAAATGATGTCTATAAAACCATCAGAGAAGATAAAGTCTGTTCTGTTTATTGACCTATATTATACAGAAACCCTAACAAGACAAAAAAGAAGGTGGTTACCAGCGGTGCTGTGGTCCACAGCGCATCAGGGCCAGGGTGGGCTGAATCAGAGCTAAAATCAGGACCAGGCAACCCAACACAGAATGAGCTCCCTGCAAAGCACAAACACACCTTTAATCTGGAACACAACAGCTGCAGAAGCAACACAACCTTTTCCTTTATAAAGTGCATTGGTTTAGGTCTGCAGCTTAGTTTAGGTTCTGCTCGGTTTGGGTTTTGCTGCTTGGTGTAGGTTCTGTGAGAGAATCTTTCATCATCACATTGCTCAGATTCTGCAGCTTTGTTCCAATTCCGTTGTATTGGATAAAAATATTTTTTAGGGGGATTTATATATGTATTTGTGAAACGTTAATCAAGATAAACTACAATTAATCAGCACAATGCAGTTTGGGTCTGGTTGCCCTGGTAACAGAGACTAAAAAAAGTTTCTAATTGCCCAGAATAGAAATTGAGACCCAGTTTTCCTCCAATAGCACTTCACCGACTGTAAAATACAACTAGTTTAAATATTTGGACACCAAACAAAAAGAAAAGCAGGTTTAACTCATAGGATGCCTCATCGTGCCATCTGTGCATGGAGCTTTGCTGCTGGATCAGACTCACCTCAGCCCAGCCATTCACGAATACGAAGGCGAGGACGAAAGCAGTGATGGTAGCTGCCACTGTGACGCTCATCAC